AACGTATTAATGACAGCACTTAAAAAATTAAAAATTCCACATAAACTCAGAAAATTAATAGAAATGACAATGAGAACTACAGAAATAAGCATAAAGACACAAAGAGGAGAGACAGAAGAATTCAGTATAAATAAAGGGATGAAACAAGGAGATGCCTTATCAACAACGCTATTTAATCTAGCATTAGAATATGTACTGCGAAATATAAATAAAGGAAATATCAGAACAAGAGGTGGTCAAATAATTGCATATGCAGATGATATTGCTATTATTGCAAAGAACAGAAAAATAATGAAAGAAATGCTTGAAGAAATAAGAGAGAAAGGGGAGGTGATGGGGCTAAGATTAAATCAAGAAAAGACAAAAATTTTAAGATTAGGGAAAAAAACCAATGAAGGAAAAAATCAAAATAGGAAGTTCCGAGTTTGAAGAAGTAGAATGCTTCAAATACCTAGGAGTTACAATAAGTAAATCCGGAGAAAGGAAATCCGAAATAAAAGAAAAAATATTAGCAGCGAATAAAGCTTATTTTGCAAACAAAAGATTACTTAAAAGCAAAACACTGACTAAAAAAAGCAAGATGAGCATTTATAACACCATAATTAGACCAATATTATTATATGCAGGGGAAACAATGACGATGGTTAAAAAAGATGAAGAAGACTTAAGAATTGCAGAGAGAAAGATTATGAGAACCATACTAGGACCAATCAGAACAGAGCAAAATGAATATAGAAGCAGAACAAATGCAGAAATTAAGGAAGAACTTAAGGAAGACATCGTAACTAAAATAAAGCAATGCAGAGTTAGATGGTTAGGTCACATTTGGCGAGCAGGCGATGAGGCAGTGACATACGCAATGATAGAATGGAATCCAGGAGGAAGAAAGAGAAGGGGAAGACCGAGATCAAAGTGGCTGCAAGAAGTTGAAGAAGACCTCCAAAGGGCAGGAGTCAGTGAATGGAGAGGAAGAACTAGAGACAGGAAAAAATGGAGAGATATTGTCAAGAAGATAAGATAAACAAAAAAAAGACTGATCCACTTAAGAAATAGGATCTAGAAAGCATTTGCGGTTTAACCCCACGCTGGGGGGTTAAACCGCAAATGGCTATACACGGGGTGTATAGCCATTATATATATATATATTTATATATATATATATATATATATATATATATATATATATATAAAAGACATAAATGACTGTGTTTGTCCCCCCACTAATAACCCTTGGTGGTTGATGTGGGTTCTGTATGTTTAAATAATAAAAAAAATTGTTAACTAAACAACGAGTTTCATTTCAGTTCAGTACTTACAAGCCTTTCTGATAAGTGGTAGACCACGAAATACGTATAGAAGGATGGTGATTCTCGAGTTGAACAGAAATGCATCCGTCTAGGCCGGAACGTGTTTATTTAATATTATAAACTTAACAGAAGTAGGAGAAAGTAATAAAGGCTATAGCGGGATAAGATGGTCAAAAGTGCCTCCGCACTGATCAGCAGCGCGATCTGTGCTTTCGATAAAGTGTATAAAAAACATGACTTCATACACATTTTCAGCTTTCCAGAGGCCACGGAACCGCTTAAATATAAAAAGAAGCTTTTTTCGACTTTATTTTTTTCTGGACGCAATTTTGCTTTAAAAAATCTGAAAAAATTCATGAAGGTGTATCTTTTGAATACCAAATAGCCTGATTTTTTTTCAAATTTTTATGTTAAAAATTGAGCCTAGGAAAAATTATTGAAATTTTCAATAAATTTTTTAGGTTATGTTAATAATTTTTGGCTAACTTTTAAATAGTAATTTTTTGTGTATTTTTTTTTTGTTCTTTTGAATGGCCAAGGCAAAATTTTCAAATTCTGAGCGGAAAGCATCGAAAAAATAAAAAAACCGTTTTTTTTACTCATTTATTTGCACATAACCTTAAAACTCAGTTGTTAATTGAACATTTTTCAACATTTTTTCTTTCCACATTATCAAATTCTATTGTATAAGTCCCCATTTAACTCTTTCAAAGGAATAAAATTCGAAAATACCACGTTTTTTATCCATTATTACCCTTATTATTACATACCCTCGAAAGCAGTTATTTACTTTCACTAGTCTTTCGGCTGATCAATTACAGCAGTTGAAGGAATTGTTAGTATCCATGAGAACATCACATTGTAGAGACGTGACACAAGCTTTGTTTATATTTTTATTCAAATTACGCACTGCTCATCCAATAATTTTATTTCATCAGTCTTTGAAATAGATAATGAAATAAAAATTTCAGATTTTTTTTGTGAATCAGTAATCCATTCCTTTGAAAAAGATGTTTTACCGAAATATTTTGGCGCTAAAAGTATCAAAAGAGAAGAACTAATACGTGACCATACTTCTATATATGCAAAAAAACTTTTTAACTTGTCGGACCAACTTGTTTTGATTTTTGATGGAACATATTTACATCACCAAAAGAGTCAAAATAACGATTATCAGAGAAAGTCGTATTCAGGTCAGAAAAAGAAACCCTTGCTCAAACCTTTTACTATTTGTACTACAGATGGATACGTTGTAGATCTCCCTGGTCCATTTTATGCCACTGAAAATGATGCAACCATCATGAAAAAAGTAATGGATGATTCAAATGGTATAAAATCTATCATGAAAAAAGGAGATGTGTGTATCGTGGATAGAGGTTTTAGGGATGTTGTACCTTACTTAAAAAGCCTTGGCTTCAAGATTCTTATGCCTGCCTTAAAAGGAAAAAGATCCAATTTGACCACGGCCTGAATCAAATGAATCACGCTATGTAACTAAATTGAGGTGGGTCGTAGAAGCCGTTCATGGAATTCTTGGCAAAAAATATAAGCCTCTTCATCAATTAGATAATAAACTTATACCAAAAGCTGGTGCATATTGTAAAATAGCATGTTTTATTAACAATTTATTTGGTAAGCGTTTGAATAGTGATCAAAATAATGATGATGGGTTACAGGATATAAAAATCGAAAGAATGTTAAAATCTAATCAAGGTGAGAATAATTTAGCATTAGAAGCTGAGATAGCTAGGAGGTCAAGACGTCCTACTACAACGACTAAGCTGACATCGCAAGAAATCATTAACTTTCCAGAGATGACTGAAGGGACCTCAAAATTTTTTTTTCGTGAACCTATCAGTTAGGTCAAGCCATTTGCTATTTGGCTGAGTTGATGGATGATTAATTACTATTAAACTGGGAATAAGCCACAATTAAAGATAAAAATACGTTTATTGACGTTTCAATTTCCACTTCGGAAATCGTTCTCAAAATACAAACAGTAAATTTACTTAATTTACTTCATTCAATTTACTGTTTGTATTTTGAGAACGATTTCCGAAGTGGAAATTGAAACGTTAATAAACGTATTTTTATCTTTAATTGTGGCTTATTCCCAGTTTAATAGTAATTAATTTACAATGCCACAAGAAAATAGCTTCAGAACAATATTGATGGACGATAGTAATAACATTAATTTGGAGTATATTATATAAGACCTATAAATGCTACATTGAGTATAAACCTGATTCAATTGGATATGGTGGTATTTTGCGTCACGCATGTGACTGTGCAAATGGGTTACGCACTGTGGGTTCGTGTTCTTATATAGCCGCAGTTATATATTATCTCAGTAATGCAAGATATAAATCGAGAATCATAAGACCAGCAAAAATTCTGTCAGAAATTTTTAAATCTGATGTTGAACCTGTCATAGATGAGAATAGTGATGAGGACTAAAATGTAATTGAATGTTTAAACTGTTAATTTAAATAACCTACTGAATAACCATTTCATAATAATAAATATTTTTGTAGTCAAATATTTTATATATTATGTCCTCGTTTATATCCAAATGAATTTATAAAACAATTTTTACAATGTTAAAAAAATATTTGAAAAATAATAATATTCTTGTCCTATTGAGGTGATCCTAGAGATATATCACTTTATGCTATTAACGAGTCAAAAATAGAAATAATACTTGGAAACCGTTTTTTTCAAGTTTTGACTATTTAAGAAAAAAAAAAAGATAAGTGGTATAACAAAATTGAACTGTGCGATCAAAAATACACGGAAATTCGATCATGTAGCTACTATATTTTAAGGTTAAGAGCCAATAAAGTGGGAAAATATTATAAATACATCATTTATTCGCATTTTAAGAATTTTTAAGTTAAAAATGATTATTTTAACAATGATGATTCATAGCCCGTAAGAGAATAGATGAAAAAGCATACATCTAATTATCTGATTTTGAGTTAAGGTAAAAAAGTGCGAAATGGATAAAAAACGTGGTATTTTCGAATTTTATCCTTTTGAAAGAGTTAAATGGGGACTTATACAATAGAATTTAATAATGTGGAAAGAAAAAATGTTGAAAAATGTTCAATTAACAACTGAGTTTTAAGGTTATGTGCAAATAAATGAGTAAAAAAAACGGTTTTTTTTATTTTTCGATGCTTTCCGCTCAGAATTTGAAAATTTTGCCTTGGCCATTCAAAAGAACAAAAAAAAATACACAAAAAATTACTATTTAAAAGTTAGCCAAAAATTATTAACATAACCTAAAAAATTATTGAAAATTTCAATGATTTTTCCTAGGCTCAATTTTCAATATAAAAATTTGAAAAAAATCAGGCTATTTTGTATTCAAAAGATACACCTTCATGAATTTTTTCAGATTTTTTAAAGCAAAATTGCGTCCAGAAAAAAATAAAGTCGAAAAAAGCTTCTTTTTTAGATTTAAGCGGTTCCGTGGCCTCTGGAAAGCTGAAAATTTGTATAAAGTCATGTTTTTATACACTTTATCGAAAGCATAGATCGCGCTGCTGATCAGTGCGGGGGCACTTTTGACCATGTTATCCCGCTATAGCCTTTCATTCGAAAAACTTTTGAAAATAAGATGGGTGATAAATAAAAACAATTTATTATAAAAATATTTATTAACGAAGAAACAAAAAACTACAGAACTATTTAAAATTTTTTACACTTTTTCTCATGACAATCTTTTATTGTTTTGGTAATAAACCCTCTCTTACATTTGGAACAAGGATATGGTCTCTCTCCGGTATGAGTTCGTGTATGTATCTGAAGAGTGGTCCTCTGGGAGAAAGATTTATTGCATAAATTGCACTTGTATGGTTTTTCCCCAGTGTGAATCCTCACATGCTTGTTAAGATTTTCTCTCTTTTTAAACACTTTGCCACAAGTAGAACAAACATACTTCCCTGTTTTATGAACTGTTTGGTGGACCTTAAGGTTACATATTTTTGTAAATGTTTTTCCACACTCATTACAAAGAAATTGTTCTTCAGTTTTATGCAAATAGCGACTATGTTCGTCTAAATTTTGCTTGTAGGGAAAGGTTACATCGCACTGATTGCATTTGTATTTTGTATGGGATTCTTGCATATGTTGCATTAAGTAGTAGTTTGTACTAAATTTAGATTTGCATCTGCGACATTTATATGTATCTCTTTCATTAGTTTCTATATGAAATATTTTGTGAGTTTCGAACCACGTCTTTGATGAGAATGTCTTGTCACATTCATTGCAATACATTTCCTCTTTTAAATGGTTTTTATTTATATGTTCGTATAACCTTGAGCTGATTTTTGTTTGAAACTTTTTGCATACCACGCACTCGTACAATTCTGGATTTTCATGGTGTATGGCATTATGTAGACTTAAGTTAAAATCATCAGTAAAATTATAGTTACACAAATCACAATAATGGTCTTTTGGTTTGTGTTTATAAACAACGTGTTGTTGATAGTGAGCTATGTTGGCATAGCTCGTCATACAAATTGGACAAGTTATTTCTTTGCTGCTTATGTTATATGCATCGTTATTTTCGTCGATATCACCTAGTTGATCTGTGGTATTCTTGTGCATTTCGTAGTGTTCCAGAAGGCGTTCTTTTTCATGAAATTCTTTCTTGCAAATTTTACAAACCCAAGAGAATCCTTTTTCCTGCATCAAATTTCGTTCTTTTGCAGCGGTTATTTTTTGTGTGCAAATGGAGGATAAAGTGTTTTTTACGTAGGGAGTATAGTCGAAAGGGTTAACATAATCTGTGGACGAATCATTTTTACTCTTGGTTACGACTGGTGTGTTTGGATGTATATTTGACACAGTTGTCGCGTAATTCACTAAATGATTGGTTGGAATTATTTTCAATGGAGGGGCAGATCCAGATCCAATAGTATTTGATGCCATCACAACGTTCGGGATTACCTTAAGTATCGGTGGAGAAGACCTTGGTGTCATCAATAATTGATTTTGTGATGGTATTACTTTAAGGGTAGGTGGAGCAGTTTGTGATGTCACCAATAGTTGCGTTTGTGATGACGCAGCCGCTGATGTGGAAGTCTTTGGTAAAATAATGTAATACATGGGTGCTCCTTGGACAGGTAGTAGTCGAGTGGGTAAGGCTTGGACATTTTGAAGGCTGGAACTAGTGGAAGACGATAATGTGTTGAACAAAATTGTTGAAGTCGTCATTGTCCTAAAAAGACTAACATTAATATAATATTTATTTAAGTAAAACATTATTAAAATAATAATAAATAATAAAATTAAACATATATTTTAGGATATTTGGTAGTCTAAATATAGATTTTTTAGAATATAGAATTTAGAATAGAATTTAGAATGTATTTTGCTCTAAATAAAAAAGTGTAGCTACAAGCTAATTACGAACTTTTGTATTCAAACATTAAATAAAACGATCTTATATTAAAATTTATATTTTCGCAAATGGTTTATATACGTAAGAAATAGAAATGTGTTCCTCAATATGTTCACTTACTTCATACAGGGTGAGTCATAACTATTGGGACATAGACTAAGGACATGTTATTTGGACCAAAATATGGCTATTGGGCCAAATATGCCTTAATAAAATGTTACTGAGAAAAAAGATACAGGGTGTTAAATTGGAAATTTAAAATTTTATTTTTGGCTATAACTTTCATGTTTGTAAATATTTATGTATAAAAATTTACAGCTGGGTACTATTGAAAATCAGAAATTATAATTTGATGCATACTTTAATATATCTAGTAGAGGGCGCCACATATGCCACATACGTGGTATATATTTACACTTAACTTTTTTGTTCTTTAAGTTATTGGTATTCTTAAAATAAAATATTAAAGATACATTATTTCAACAAAAAAAAGGTATACTTGTTAATAACTTCAAAACTCAATAGTTTTCGAGATAATCGCATTTTACAAATCAACTGCATAATTCTGATTTAACGCAATTACTTCAGGCAATGAAAGAAAAATAGATAAAAACATCAATACGTCTAAATTTTGTTATAAAATACCTTTAATAAAGTCAATAGTTAACGAAATATTAAATAAAATAAATATATCAGCACAATAATTAATAATAGGATTTAATAAAATAACAGAATAATTGGATTTTACATCAAACATTTTACGTTTTGTATTAAATTAAAGTCATAATCAAAACATTTTATTTATAAACCAAATAACTAAACTAAATAACATTAAACTTTTTGTCAAAGTAAGTGTTCGATATGTCCACCATTTTCTTTAATTCATTTGTAAATACATTCCATAAAATATCGTCTCATATTAAATGGCATCATTGGTTCTGAAGAAACTGCTGCAGTATTTATTACAGTTGTTTTAAGTATAATAATAAGTAATTTTTTGAAATTTTTATGAATTAAATAATTATTATTATCTCACCACAAGAATATTATTACCACGAACAATCCAACGTTCAGGAAAGTGTATTTAAATACTGTCTCACTCCGCTTTCTTTGTAATGTAATGGTGTACCATCTTGTAGAAACCACATATTTCACCTTAAGTTTAATGACAATTCTTCCAATAAATCAATAAAATCATTTTATAAAAAATGTAAATAAATCTTACCATTTAAATTGAAAGGTAATCCGCATATCTGGAAAATATCATTTAAAATTTATATTTTAAATGTATGTCCTATGGTTTGGAACCATTGATAATTATTTTTTTCGGATATGCGAATTACCTTGCAATTTAAATGTCGAGCTTTATTTACATTTTTTATAAAATGATTTTATTGATTTATTGGAAGAATTGTTATCAAACTTAAGGCGAAATATGTGGTTTCGACAAGATGGTACACCATTACATTACAGAAAAAGCGAGAGTGAGACAGTATTTAAATACACTTTCCTGAACGTTGGATTATTCGTGGTAGTCATATTCTTGTGATGAGATAATAATAATTATTTAATTCATAAAAATTTAAAAAAAATTACTTAGTATTATACTTAAAACAACTATAATAAATACTGCAGCAGTTTCTTTAGAACCAATGATGCTATTTAATAATACGAGACGATATTTTATGGAATGTGTTGACAAATGAATTAAAGAAAATGGTGGACATATCGAACACTTACTTTGACAAAAAGTTTAATGTTATTTAGTTAAACTATTATTTAATTTGGTTTGTAAATAAAGTATTTTGATTATGACTTTAATTTAATACAAAACGTTAAATGTTTTATGTAAAATCGAACTATTCTGTTATTTTATCAACTCCTATTAATAATTATCCTGCTGATATATTGATTTTATTTAATATTTCGTTAACTATTGACTTTATTAAAGGTATTTTATAACAAAATTCAGAAGTATTGATGTTTTTATCTAATTTTCTTTCATTGCCTGGAGTAATTGCGTTAAATCAGAATTATGCAGTTGATTTGTAAAATGCGATTATCACGAAAACTGTTGAGTTTTAAAGTTATTAACAAGTATACCTTTTTTTTGTTAAAATAATGTGTATTTAATATTTTTTACCAACAATACCGGTAATTTGAAGAACAAAAAAGTTAAGTGGAAATGTATGCCATGTATGTGGCATATGTGGCGCCCTCTATTAGATATATTAAAGTATGCATCAAATTATAATTTCTGATATTCAATAGTACCCATCTGTAAATTTTTATACATAAATGTTTACAAACATGAAAGTTCTAGTCAAAAATAAAATTTTAAATTTCCACTTTAACACCCTGTATCTTTTTTCTCAGCAACATTTTATTAAGGCATATTGGGTTCAATAGCCATATTATGGTCCAAATAACATGTCCTTAGTCTATGTCCCAATAGTTATGACTCACCCTGTATATTAGATATGCTCGACACTATTATACATTTTGAGTGCTTTGCATTTATGGGAAACGAAATATCTGGACCTGAGTATTAAAAGGGCCAAACTCCATTTTTGCCATTATTGAGTTACTATCACCACTAAAATTATAATATTCAAAACTTTCAATACAAAAAAGTTCAATCTTCTTGTATGAATGGTTGCCGATTTCTTAATTTTAATTTAGGGCTTATCTCCAAATCAGTTTAAATTAAAACGGCCAAAGTGCACATAGAACTGCTCACTCTACTTAACTAAAGGGGTAATATCCAGTGACTTTGGTCTTTTTATTTTTAAGTCATTGGAGATTGGCCTTTACAAAAACATACCTAACCTTAAAAAAATTGTTGTTGTAACGACCGGTGAAGTCCTTCTGTGTTGTATTTCAAGTGAGTTTACTGCAAGGAAAACCTAAAAATGTATTCAAGCCGAACTAAAAGGCTCTTGTCTTTAATTAAAGACTCCAGACAAGTTGGTGATAGGAATAGAAACGAAAATGGTAAGTACTAAAATAAAATAGGTATGCAAATTGCGTTATTTTATTAATATAAAAAATGGGTTTAGGTCATTCTACTGAAGAATCCATACCAACTTCTTTTACACAGCCTGGTTGTAGTAATGCTGCTGTTATTGTGGAAATGATCCCACAAGATGTAGACATGCAATTTCAGACATCTGACAATATTGCGATGGAGTCGGCGATGGATCAGTCAAGAAACGCTATAGAAGGTGCAATAGGTAGCCTAGATACTGATGTCATTTTTAAAAATCAGGTAGATATCCTTAAATTATCTAAATTGTTGCAATCTTAATACCTACTGGTTTAATAATAAAGTAATAATAAGTTTCATTACTTTGCTGTTGCATATTTTGTACCTGTGTATAACGCATAGGTGGTTATAGTTTTAAAATGTAGATTTATTTCTTTTAGATTGTTCCGCCGTTAAATTCAATGAATTTGCTTGAAGAACAACTTAATGAAACGCATGAAAGAAATCAACAAAATGAAAAAGCAAAAAAGCATGAACTTGCTTTAAACGTAAGTGCTTCTAACATACTAGGTAATTTGTGTCTTTAACATTCTTAAAAGCTTAAAAAACTTTTTTTCCACTTACATCATTTTCTTAATTTTTTTAGGAATCAAAAAGTAGCGAGGACCTTTCTGATGATCAAGATCGTAATTATAGTCCAGATGAAAACGATAGGGAAGAGGATGAGCCCATTTTAACAGTTTCAATGGAAAAAAATAAATCAAGGAAACGAGTGAAACGTATTCAAAATTGGAAGCAACTTAAAAGACAGGAACAAAAACGTAAAGGCGAGGAATATAAAACTAAAAAGGGGAAGATAAAGGATACTAAAGTATTACTGTCAGCATGTCACTGTAGGTGAAAGTGTTATGATAAGATTGATAATGCTCAAAGACTGAATATATTTTCGCGATTTTACCAATTAAGTAGACACGCTCAAGATCAAGTGTTAGCGCTAAGTGTGGAAGAAAAACTCAAAGATAGGCAAAGGCTGGCACCAGAGAAAATGGAAAGCAGGAGATCTTTTTCTAGGAATTATTTTTTAAAAGATTCTACCGGAAATCGGACGGAAGATTGTCAAAGCATGTACTTAGGCTTATGACATTTCTATTAAAAAGATAAGAGTGATTGTAGAGAAAAAAGGTCCCATGGTGGGGTATGTCCACCAGATGGACAAGGAATGCATAAAAACCAACCCAAAATTGCTGAACAGTTTAAAGTTATTGTTCGCGATCACATAAGAAGTTTTCCAGCATATACCAGCCACTATTCCCGTGAAAAATCTTCTAGGTCTAGGCATTATCTTAGCCCCGATTTGAATATTTCAAGTATGCATAGATCTAGATATGTATAGTATGGTATAGTATAGTATGTATAGATATAGATATTTCAGTATACTGAAAACTGTAAAAAAATGAAAGTTGCTTCGCTCAAAGAATTTCAGTACAGAAAAATATTTAATGAAGAGTTTAATCTTGCTTTTCATCATCCTGCAAATGATACATGTGCGAAGTGTGATTGATTAAATCTTCGTCTTACGTCATATTATAATAAAACAAACCTTACAGAAAATGAGGTATACAAAAAGATTACAATAGAACAAGATTTAAATAACCATTTGGAAATGGCTAAAAGCTGCTATGAAAATAAGAAAAAAGATAAAGAAAGAAGTAAATTAGATCCGAGTTATGTGACTGTTTCATTTTTTGGAAAAATGTTTGCCGACCCCCTTCTTGAGAAATGGTGTATCGTTTTACAAAAGACAACTGTGGGTCTACAATCTAACTCTTTA